AGTCCCATCTCCAGCAACTCAGCCTGGACGGTTCTTCGCCAAGTTGTTTTAGGCCGTCCAGACTTACGCTTCCCAACAGGAGTCCAAAAAGTGATTTGGCACTTATAAAATATCTATAAAAACAGGATTGCTAGACATCCCTGTCGAATTGAATCAACATATCCCATGATGCTGTTCAGCCATACATCTGAGAAAACTTTGCTGTAGTGAGTCCAAAAAGGGGGCTTTTCTTCGATCTGAAAACAGTTTAACAAAGCAAGAGTGCAACAGTTGACTGAGGATGGAGATCTCCCGCAACACCCATTTTTTACTTGACAAGATAATTTTGGTACTGCAATTTAAGTCTAAAATAGGAGTTCCCCATAGCCTGAGTCAGGCTGTAAGTTCCCCACTGCTGTCTAGGCCAGTAAAAAGCAAATGTTTAGCGAAATACACACTAGCACAGCTGTCTTTTTCAATGGAAAGAGTGTATTGGTGACTGCATTTCGTATTCTATGATTGAGTCTGCTAGTTATTTTTCTTTTTTGAGCAGTGTTTGAAGTCAAATCTCCCGATTGATGAAACTTAGAATTTTTCAAAGCATGGTTTGAATTAAAACCATAATGCTAAAGTGCTCAGGCATCAGAGGGTTAGTAGGAAAAATTATGAAAAACGATTCATAGTACATTTCCATGACAAAAAAGAACTAAAAATGTTCAATATTTCTCCTTTCTACTGAATGAATGAAGGGTCGTCGTACCAGAAAATCAAAGTYAATTAGCTTATAATATCTTAGTTAACAAATTTATAAAACAAATTAACAAATTTTCCCATRTAGAATGTCATCTGATTTACCAGTCATAATCAAATCGTCAAAATTTTTATTCATTCAAGAGACAAAGTCCAGTTTTTTCAATGACAATGCAAATGAAGTGTCTATATAGTGACATTGCCAGGGTAAACAGTGGATGTCAACATGTTTACTTYCAAAAGAACAATACAAAATTATTGAGCAGAAGATCTTGGTTAGACATGATTGGTTACGTTTGTTTTGTTTTATTGATAAAAAGAAGGGATTTAAGTCTTAGCTGCTGGGCACATTATTATTAGAAAACTGCTGCAGATGTTCACAGCATTTTTATTATTTAAACTCAATTAGGTTTGATACTTAAAAATAGTCACAAAAAATGCTGCTTCAATGGACTAAATGTCCCTCTGCTGTCTCTCATAATTATTACAGAAAGTATCACATTTTTCACTATGTTTTAATTTTGTATAATTTTTGATTATATCAGCCACTGGTGACAAGWACTGCTAATCTTCAAATCGATATYACTCAAAAATGCAAAGATTGCAGCAATATTGGTGAAAACTGGGTGTGTTTGAAATGCTCTGAGGTSTACTGCAGTAGGTATGTCAACAGTCACATGGTGACTCACAATGAACAAGACCCAACTCACATGATTGCATTGAGCTTCAGCGATTTGAGCTTCTGGTGTTATGACTGTGATAGTTGTAAGTATTGCATGAAGTTTTTTGAGTGTGAGTTATAGGTAATCGCTAGCTACAATCGTTACTAAAATCCTTAGACCATGCAAGCGAATTTCCATATTTTGAGCAACACTAGCAAATAAATTTATCAACCTACAGTAGCTCCCTCTTTAGTACTCAACCATCCAAAACCTAAAACCAAACAARTGCATGCATAAAATTTTAGTCAAAGGCTTCTGAGCTTGCAARAGAAATTCAAAGTTTTAAGAGCATCTATCAGTCTCCTATAACATTTTCACACCTATTGTCACACATCGGCTTAGTGCTGCTTATGACCCTCAAAGGGAAACATTAAAGATATGATTGCACATAAACTCTCATTTTTCCATCTCCTTTTCCTATCTCCCTTTCTTCTATTATTAAATTATAATCAAGACAAAGATGAAAAAAGCTAACTATAGGATGTAGGAGAKGTAATCATAGGATGAATATCTATCACCTTTTTAGTAAACAACAATTAAAAGTGTTCAGTGTTCTGTTACAATGTTACAATTCTAGAAAAAAAACTAGCKCAGTTTGCAGAGTAAGACACTTTCATTCTCATCCAAAAAGAAAATGCTGCTTAGTACATTTGTGAAGAAAGAAATTTATTTTAAATTGTATTTTCTAAGTTATGGGCAATTGAAACTTAGAAAATGCAAATGAAGTGATATTCACTGTTCACTAAAGGAATTAATTTTTTATGATTTTTTTTTTTTATTCATTTGTATATTTTATACAAAGTCATGAAAGAGGACATTTAATTATATTTTGGTTACATTCGAAAAAGCATTTTCAGCCCTCAATTATTACTATGATTGAGGATTTGAGATCTTCAACCAAGAACAACACAACACAAACAATGCTTGACCAATTCCTTAGTTGACATCAGTTGACGTCACTTCATTTGCATTTTCAATTTTCAAATGTCTATAAAAAGTCTCAGAAAATTCAATTCAAAATCTGTTTCTTTGTTCACAGATTGAAGTGCTTGGCAGCATGTTACCTTTTGGGCAAAAGTGATTTTTTAAAAGGTGTCATGTGCACTTTATCTTTAATTTTACTTTATTTATTTATTTCTTCTTTTTTTTGTTTACAAKTGTGTTTCTTTGTTTTTAATTCACTGTGATGACAGCTGAAGACTGTTAGTAGTTTAATAGGAAGTATTAGCTTACAAAAAAAAATAAGACAAGTTCTGAATGAAAAATCTTATATTCATCACTTTCCTTTTGTCACCCAACAGACATTGAGTCACCATTGCTAAAGACCATATCTAAAGCTGCTGAACTAGCTAAGTACCCACAGTGAAAGAACAATTTGAAACTTAAAGCATTGAATGAGGAAACACATCTCCATTTTTATAAAAATAGCTTTTATTTATTGAAT